TGCCAGAAAGCGAACTCACACGTCTTGACCTTCTGTCGTCATCCTGAGACCACTACAGCATCGTGTGCCTGCTCTCTCCGGGGTATGCCGCTGCTGAGCCCAACGACAGTAAGAAGCAAAGCACCATCCTGAGCTGAGTAAGAGACTGCAACAACCGTGCAAGCTGAAAGCCCTCCGGGCGGTTTGCATGTATTTCAGTGCAGAATACGCCCTTTTCTGAAGACGATTAAAGCTATTGCCTTTTAAGCTTTGGAATGAAAGAGATGATAGTCCCCAAAGTCCCCAGCTGGAAAAACATTTCAAACCTTTTGTTGCAGAGAGAGTATTTTTAAAGATAATTCACTTTTTTTTTTTTTTTTTCTAAAGTGGAAGGAGTTTGGCCTAAAATAGAATGAGGGGAAAAAGGGCTTTTTGCTTTTCAGTGTTAAACTTTATATCTAAGAACAATGGAAGTAAATTAGAAATGCACCGTTTGACAGAAACTGGAGAATCATCATACAAGTTTTAGTATAATACTATGCGCATAGGAATGAGGAAAACAACTGCAGCATAAGAATATTAATCTCCTAGTGCTAATGAGCTCAAAGTATTTAAATATGACTTACAGGGAAACAGTACTTAACTCAAAAGGCTGAGAAATTACTTCATCACTGTGTATCAGTACTTACACACAGCAGTTACATCAGTGTGCTTTTGTACCTCAGTATCAAATTAATAACAAGATCCAATGACTGGAAGCTGAAGCTCAATGAATTCAACCTCCATGTGAGATTAAATTTCCAAGCTCTGTCAACATAGTTTTATCAGAAGAGATGTAGTTTTGGCTCTCACTTAGAGGCTTTAAAATGCATATTGTAAATAGGCTTTAAGGCAGCTTCTGAATTAAACTCTCTGCTTATACGTGCAGGGATTTTAATGCTTCTGCTCCTTTCCTCCCCCTGGGTGGCATGGAGGGATGGAGCTTGTCTGAGTTGTCCTCGAGGTGCCCATCACACACAGAGTTTTGCTGTCAGGCACTGATTGTAGGGAAACCTCCTTCTTCAGTGCTTTAGCTAATGGCCTGTAACGGATCCAGGGGACATTTTTCCTTCACTACCTGTTAGCCAGTGATAGCTCAGGATCAGTGTTGTTATCTTCTCAAGCTTCAGAAACTGTCCAGAACTGAAGGTGAACAAGGGTGTACTCCCGAGGTGGAGAAGACAACCTCGTTTTAAGAAAATCCGTCTTGCTTATAGGTTTGAAGTCACAGCCATTTGCAACCCTGAGGTAAGAAGGGAGGTTCTGCCCCAGGTCATACTGACAGGAACCTTGGAGAACTTCTGCCAATCTCTACATTACGGTAAATAATTTAAGTAGGTAATAAATATTACCTAATCAATCCTGTGCCGTTGCAGAAAATTCAGACATTCATCCTCTGGGATAAAGTTTTATGAGGGAAAAGCTTTCCTTGGTTGCTAACACCGAAGGTGTCAGCAGAGTAATAACCTCACCTGATCACAGCCTCTAAGAAAAGGGGTCCCACTGAGTTCAGTAACACCCCTCTCAAAATAGTGCACAGGAGGCATACTGCATGTGGATGGAATTTGCAATATTGAACCCATAAAAGAAGAATATAGTGAAGGCATTTTGCTCTACACTTAGTAATTCACTGGCCTGGCTTTTTCCCATTTTTCACTGTAACATAACTGTTAGTTTTAACAAAACCGTTTTGTCTAAGGCAGAATTAATTTCTTTAGAGCAATGAAGTGAGTTTTTGTTCATAGTGCTTTATTTCTGTGTATGTATAAAGTTGCTGAACTTCCTCTGCTGGATAAAATTATTCATTGTGAAAATACAATTAGAAAAGTTAAGAATTGGGATATTTTGGAATTGTTGAATATTTGCGTTTCTTTGCCAGGACATGCAAGATGTGTATTTATATATACAGGGTACATATGTGATATGCATATTTATATCTGTATGTCTGTATATCCATATATAGAGAGATACGCATTACTGCTTTTGGTATTAGTTATACATGTATGTTCTACTGGGCATTTCCAGTGAAAAATTCCATTGTGAAAAAACCACGTGTTCTGAAAGGTGCAGATCGCCACAGGTCACTCACCAAACATTATTTATTATAGACTGTATTTTGAGTAACTGGAATCCCAGCAGAGATCGATGTCCAAACTCTTACCCATTTCAGTGATGACTATCACAAGCAGCGCCTGAGTAAAGGACTGGTACGGAAGGGGCCTGCCAATATTTTTTCCCAGGCATGAAGACTGTTGTGAGAATACCTGCCAGCTTTTGAAAACTATGAATAGAGACAACTGGAGAGGAAATAAGTGCCTGTCTCATAATTCTGCTGGAATACACTGGGCTCTGAGCCAATTTCTACACTGAAGTCAGTGGCGTTGCATGGGGGAGAAGCCAGTGCAGACTTAATAGTTTTGAAAATTTTTAGACATTGCAGGGTAGGTAAAAAATAGATTCTGTCCTGCGTGATCTTTGCACACCTACTTTGTACTGCAGAAGAACAGGAAAGTATCCATGTGACCTAATCACATGTGAAGTTTATCTGTTTGACACCACAATTTCTTTCAATTATTACATTTGCACACTCCACAGAAAGGAATACTGAAAACATTAAGTTGCTTTAAAGTCAGTGAGCTCAGCTGAGCTTTAAGTAGCCTGTGTACCAGTACAGTATTGTAACACCAGAACTATGAGCAGCCTTCTACTGAATCTAAGTTTTGCTTTAAATTGAAGCATTAGAGATGACTGTATTTATGTTTCTGTATACATAACGTTGTCTTGGACATCAAAGATTGATACCTAAATGGTTTAGCATGGAGACAAACCCTGTTGGGCTCACCTGCACCGTTTGTGTAATTCATGGGGGAAAAGCTGCATTGGTGGCAGCTGACTTCTCCATCTCCCACTGGTCAATGGCTGATCTCTTTATCTTTTCATTGACCACATGCATATTTTGTGAACATACATTTGTGAACAGTGCAATCTACAGAATTTAGCTATTTTAAAAATTTGTTATCTCATCTTATGAGGCCAGGCTGAGAGAATTGGGCTTGTTCAGCCTGGAGGAGAAGGCTGCAGGGAGACCCGATTGTGGCCGTTCAGTGCTTAAAGGGGGCCTATAGGAAAGATGAGGAAAATCTTTTTAGTAGGGCCAGCTGTGACAGGACAAGGGGTAATGGTTTTAAACTAAAACAGGGTAGGTTTAGACTAGATATAAGGAAGAAATTCTTTACAATGAGGGTAGTGAAACCCTGGCAGGGGTTGCCCAGAGAGGGGGTGGAGGCCCCATCCCTGGGAACATTCCAGGCCAGGTTGGACGGGGCTGTGAGCGACCTGATCTGGTTAAAGGTGTCCCTGCTCCCTGCAGGGGGTTGGGCTAGATGGCCTCTAGGGGTCCCTTCCAACCCCAAACTTTCTATGATTCTATGATCTTAAGCAAAGATAATTCTTTATATGCCCAGTTGTCTAAATTGCGAACGTGGGAAGAATTAGGCCACCTCAAAAGGAAGGTTGTAGTAGTCTTCCATGATAGAAACTAAAGTAAACCATAATACGAGGTTTGCTGCTTGATACTAATAAAATATATTCTCCCTTTTAAATGTAATCATTTTCTTTTTTTCCTTTCCTGAGTCCTATTATCACAACACATGGTTATCCAAACCTTGTTTGGGAAGCTGGAGAAAGTATCTGAAAGTTAAGGCATATCAGACTGTAGACTGCCATCGTTTTCACTCTGACACCTTCTGCGTGTGCATTATGAAACAGCTTTTGATCGCACAGCTTTTTGATTGCAAACAGGGCATACTGCTTTTGCAAAGGGCTCCTCCTCGCACAGCGCAATGCCAGGCCACATCCTGCTGTCGTTTAAATGAGCTGCCACAGTCGTGATAGTTCTGTCAGCAAGAGAAATGTCAAATCGGGACATGAGCTGGGGAGGGACATGGTGCTGGCTACTGTTAATTGTCTTACATTAACTCCAGTAAAACACTGTTAAGTGAAAATCATCAAAAAAATGTATGAATAATTGTGAATGGAGTCCAGCTTGAAAAGCTTCTGGCTGGTGCAGCTGCAGAGTGTGTGACCTAGCCAGGGTTTGAGAGAAAAAAGTTGCCATGGGAATGGTACGGCATTGTTTGCAGCTGACTTCAGCCTTATTGTTGTGCGCTGATTACAGCTTTTGTTTCACTGTGAAGTGTGGTTCTTAAATGCCAGCTTGCAACAAAGGCGTATTTACGTTCAACGACTGAGTTCAAATGATTTCTATTTTTAGAGATATCACGGCTTCAGGAAAAAAAACCTCTAGTAGTATTTCGGAAAACACTTAAGTATTTTAGTACAAATGTAGTACGTGCTTAGAAGATGATTCCCATGAAAATCGGTTAAATATCAATAGCGGGGTTGCTATTTGCCACTAGAACCACAGTGACTGATGGCTTCAAGAGGCTTTGAGGTAGCACCCGAGCGCCCCGCGAGCACTTCTCCACACCTCCGAGCGCGCGATTACTTTTCTGCGGGTCCCTCCCCGTTAACTCTCACACTGGACCCAAAGTAACCGCATGCTCAAGAGGCAGA